GAAAGAGTAGGGGAAGGAGAGGAGTAAAGGGGGGAAGAAGGAGGGGGTAAAGGGAGGAAAGAGGGGGTAGAAAAAGAAGAGGGGGAAGAAGGAAAAAAATAGAAAAAAATGATTTTCTATTTGAAAAATAATATTTCTTAAACTTTTTCTAACTTTAATTACTCATTCATAAGTAACTGATTGATCTGTTGAAAGTCAAAGAAACTTATCTATAACTTGAAATGGTTAGACTAATTGGTATTTCATCCCCAAATTATATGGGGGGTATATGTAATTATCTAAATTCCTTATCAACCCTGCTCAGGAGTGGAAAAGGAAGACAACACAGTGAGAAAGGATCCAAGACAACAAAACCACACCGAGTACCATAGAGGAAGGAGGGGATCAAAAATGGAAGAATTAATGCCCCCCCCCCCACCTCCCCATTAACTTCCATCAGAGATGTCCTATATAGTTACACAGTAGATACCCAGGTCTGATTTCCCTCAACAGCTAGGAAAGTTTTTGTCTTTTTGTACACACCACTCTCTCCCCATAGTGTCTCATAGAATTCCTAATACATAGATGTCTAAAAACTACTGGTTGCATGAACATATCTGGTATAATGGGACATTTATTCATAAGAACACCTGATTATATGACTATCTAATTTCTTAATATTAAAGCCATTTATTTAAAATAGGAAATGCTCAATGAATTAACAATATACCACACAGCAAGAAGAGTAAGTCAAAGAACAACTTACATTTCTTCCAGAGCATGGCAACCATTAAAGCTTGGGAGGTCTTTTATGTTGTTGTAGGACAAGTCCCTTAAAACAATGGAAATGAAAAATTAATGCTATCAGAAAACTGTATTTAAAAAGCTATACTCAAAAGCATAGAAAGCAATGCTAATTATCTCTAATGAAGAGATAACAAGAAAAGCAACTATATTTTTTCTAAGACTTGTAAGCTTCTAGAGCACCTAGTGATACAACAGGCTTAAGAGTTGCAAACTTCAAGTACATAATGTTGAATACAGACCATATAAAATATATTTTAAAATGTTATGTAAAATGAACAAAATTAAATATAAAAATATAATATGGAATATATAAAATTATGTTTAAGTCCTAGAGTTATGGATTTTTTAATTCTATTTTACAATATTGTTTATACCCTAAATAATTTCTATGTTATTTCATTAAAAAGCTATAAGAGGAGTGGTAGTCATATTTTTAAAAACATATTAAATCAAGTATTGGGACTACTTAACTCTCAGTTAATCCCACTGAAATTTTTTCTTAGTGGTAATTGTCAGGCTTGATACTCCATGACACCATTTAATTACCTGCTTAATCAATCAGTCACTTATTTTGTTACTATCTCTCTCCACTGAATACTTATTAACAACTTAGTAACTTAATTATTCGTTCTTGTGACATTTTCACATCTTTTATTTACTTTTAATTCCTAGGACAGTTTAAAGTTTTTGGAAAGCTCCATACTCAGTTGGTTCCTGATCTAAGACAGATTTGGGCTGTGCTTAGGCTACGGATGACAGAGCAGGATACGGAGAGCTGACCCTTCTGGGGAAACGAATAAAAACAAGGAGTCAGGACAAGAAAAAAAATCAAGGAAGGACCTAGCTTGGTTTTAGTTTGTTTAAAGTAAAGTCAGAAGATGAATGATATATATATCCCTAAAACTAAATTCAAATGGGCATTACCTACTCTGGGCTATTAAAATGATTGTTCATTTCCATGAAGGAAATAAGAAATAATTATAATTTAAAATCACCTAACGAAAATAGTTCATTAAAAAGAAAACTGAACATGTGTGAAGCACATAAAAGAAAGGTGTGAGAAGGGAAGAAAAATCCAACTTACAAAGTCCTAAGCATCTTTTGTTCTTGGCACAGATTACTGGATATACTGCTTATCTTCGTACCTGTCAAGGTCCTGCGGAAAAACATGGCTCATCTAAGAAATGATTCAAGTTGAGATGGTAAAAATGCTATTCTCATGTAGAAAAATAAATGCTCACTTATTTTCAAATGGACTAGAGTCTATGTATCCCATGACCTGATTCTCCCTAAAGTTAGGCACGTGGGAAGACAAATTAACCCTCCATGCTAGTATCATTGTCCATATTAAAATCAGAGAAGCTCATGACACTAGAGGTAATATCTAAACAACAAGCTTGATTTCTCACATGGACCAACAGAAAAACAGCAATCCACAGTCATAGCCTGACCATGACCACCTGCAAGTTCTGTCACCCCCCCAGCATCTGCCACTCATACTCAAAACATTGGGGGCATCCTGCCCCCAAACATTATTCCTGTCTTTTCTTTCAGTCAACCTGACTCAACAGTCTCACATTTTTCTCTTACTCCCCTCCCTTTCTGTTCCCATTTTCAGTCAACCACCAATTCCTGTTGTTTCTTCCTCTATAGTGTCTCCAGCATCTGACATTCTATCTCCATTTTTACTGCTACAATACAGATAGAAGATGGGATGGTGCAGAAAGGGGTGGGAGCATCTCAGGCCACAGGGAAGAACTGCAATGGTTCAATGTGTTCACTTAGCCAAGTGGATCATTCTCATGGCCTCCTCACCACTCTTCCTATCTCTAATCTTTCTTCTCCTCTTCACACGACCTGCTCCATTATCCTCAACACCTCCAATGACCTTAAGAGTCAAGTTTAAATTGCTTAGCTCAGAGCTTCTCAACTTCTTTTTCTTACATCTTGGCACACATGAAAATCAAAAGATTGTGTGGCATAATGTGGTAAGGCTCCATGTGGCTGGAGATCCTGGCCACCTCAGGCCCCACCTGGCTACCTCGAGGGCCAAAGTCATCAAGACCTTGGCTGCATGTGTAACCCATTTACAGACCGCCCATTGGGAAGCTTTGCCAAAACCAAACGTTCAGTGCTCAAGGCTTGCCTTTTCAAATTTGTGACCGAAACAATTTTCTAAATTTCTTTGTACCATGCCCCATTCAATTCTAGCTTAAGTGATCTTCTGTACCCCATCCTTTAACTAAATCTTGCCTTTCTAAATAAAAACCCCACTCTGGGAAACCTGCCAGTATTTCATTTTGAAACATTTCACCTCCTCCAGGAAGCCTTCTCTGATAGCCTGCATTGATCGCTCCACCTGTGAATCCCTGAAGCACTGCTTCTGATCTGGCACTTGCTTACTGCCTTCTATTTCCAGTGCCCTTTGCATATTGTATCTCCACACACCAGGCAATACTCTACCTGGGTCAACTAAGCCCAAACCCAATATCCATTTCCATGCTATTCACAAAGGGAGATTGTAGGAATCAACAAAGTCTTCGTCATCACCAAAAAGCACTGGCACACAACTAGCAGGCCAGCGTGCTCTCTTTATGCAACTGGTCTGCCAAGGGCCACACTTACAGACTCTCCAGGTGGACAGTCCCGGTCAGATTGGGGAACTGCTGCACCATGCTGGCACCACGAATGACTCTTTAAGAAATCAGGAGAGAAAAAATAGTTTTAAATAAAAAATTCACATAGACAACATTTGCATTTTCTTTTTTAAGCAGTTTAAGATGATAGCACTACAAGACCTAAAAAATAAAATTGCTTTCATCTCTTGGATGCACCTGAAAGTGTGAAAATTTGGCCAAATGTTCACATAAATTAAAACTATCATAACTTTTTAGACTTATCCTTTGGACTTCTGGCCAAGGAAAAGACACTAGAAGAGTTTCTTTTCTGGAGCTACGGTAATAAAGTCTAGTTTTCTATTAAGGCAACTGTATAAGCATTCAGGTGTGTTTTAGAATTTATGTAATACTTACAAGGAATGCAGATCAGATAAATTGTGAAATGCTGAGTTCCCCACGAAAGATAGAGGATTATCATACAAATGTCTGTAAAAACAGCAGAAAAAAAAATCAAAGTTTTCATATGTTCAGAAGCACTCACAAACTAAATCTATTTTCATAAAGTTCATATATCTCAAAGCCTGACTTTTCATTCTTAAGTCAGATGGTTTTTGCCATCATATAGAGATAGCTGTACATGATTATACATTAGAAGAAACTTTCAAAACTACTTACATAGTTCTTAACAGTGGATTACCATCAAATGCTCCATCAGGGATAACAGAAATAGAATTACTATGAAATAACCTAAAAAGATAGGAGAAAATATTTTGAAATGCATATGCCCTTGTGAAATAAAGTTAAAACCCAAGTATCTACTCCTGTATTATATAGCATATAACTGATAACAACTACATGAAAACTTCAGAACTGTGGGAAAACTGAATTTTTAAGTCTATCTCATATTTTTCCCGATAGTTCTTTTTAAATCCCTGCTTAGCCTACTATCAATCAGAAACCTCATCTACATTTAGCTGTACCTTCATCATCAAAGAACTTTAGACCACAGGAATCATAACATGTCTGCCCCCCAAAGCTCTCACTATAGCCTGCATTTAGTCTTTAAGCAATTCATCGTACAGCTTTAGCTATTGGCTCATGACGTACAGTCCCTGTTATGCCATATACATTCCTATCACTGCCCTTGACAAATTCAACTTCTAAAATGCTCCCCTGTCCCTATCATTTATTTAAATACTAGTGTCCTGGTGCATGGATTTGTGCACATTGAAAGGAAATTAGAAGAAATATTTTAATATCGATATTCGCCCTTTCTCTATAATAGAAATGTTAAGCAAATTCACGACAATGACAGATCAAAACACACCTGTGAGATTGGTGCCAGCGAGAGCTTTTTATGTATTGTGCATGCGCGAGTCAACTTAGTCTTTTATATATAGAGAATAAACTTGCTTAATTAGACCCACTTTCTGATTTAGCTAAACTTTTTCCAGCCCAGTGAAGCACCCCAACTTGTCTTTCACGTAATTGTCAGCAACAAGCAGTAAATATCAACACGAAGCAGATTATTATTGTAGATCACGCAGGGAGAACAAAGGATAAAATATTTAACTGTAGCAGTATTTGACTATATTCTGCACAGTGAGAAAACCTGAAGTCATTTTCAAGTTCCACCATTTCTTACTTCTTTTCAGTTGGGTCAAGTTTCTAAGCTTTCTAAATCTCCATTTTCTGGCTAACAAAAAGAAAATAGGATTCCACCGAGTCTCCTATCTACCTACTCCAGGACTTCTGTGAGGATCAAATGAGATGAGGCATGGGAAAATGCTTCACAGACATTTGGTTAAAGTGTAAATGTTTGCACCTGGCTATAAAGCAAGTCATGTTCCTGGACTGAAGAAACTGCAAGGAGGCTGGTCGCTAGGGAGAGGAAGCCAGGCGTTGCTACGTGATGTCATTACCTGGCGCCCACAGCGACCATTTATGGGCTGGGCTGGCTCTGGGCAGCATTTTGCGCCATGGGGTCTTGGCAGCATTGGCTGCAATTTGGTGGGGTATCGCTCTGGGGTGGTGGCAGGGCCTGTGTCCCACTAGGGGGAAGCCGAGTGTTGGTTTGTCAGCGCCAGGTCCGTGGTGCTGTTTATTTTTAAATGGCCAGTGGATGTCATGGCAGCTCCTGTGTTGAGCATCTGCCCCTTGGTGGTCAGTGCGCATCATAGCTACTGGTCGGACAGATGGACACTTAGTCTTTTATATATAGAGATTTCCATTCTTTTGAGCCCAGTCCAATTTCTACTCTTTAGTGATGCCTTTTCCAATTACCTCATCTCAATGAAGTCTTTTTCTAGAATGATTTCTTTATCCGATCCACGCAGCACTTATTTCTACCTAGAAATTGCTGTCTGTCTGTCTTGTGTGGTAGCCTCCCAATGACACTAATACGACAAGCTCCTACAAGGCAGAGACCCTACATTACAGCTTTTCTTTCCCCAGAATCTAGCTCTGTTGGGTAATGTATATTCAGAACTGTCCATGCCAGCTGACATATTCCAACCTGTATGATCATGCATGTTTGTGTGTATGTGTTTTACGGTGTAGGTAATGGAGCAAAAGTGCCCTAAAAGTCTCACTGTTAGAACATTACATGGTGAGTTCTGAGGATATTAAGGCATAAAGACAGCAAAGAAATACTCACAGTTCTTTTAGGCTAGGAAGGGCTTTAATAGCCTGGGGAAATTCTCCCAAGTTATTATAATTCAAGTCCCTAGGGGGGAAAAATGGGGAAAATATGTAAGAATATTGAAGAGTGGTCATAATTTAAAAGGCATTTTGGTACAAATGTATTTTTTAAAAATATCACTTCCTCTAGATCACAATCTTTCTTTACCAACCATATTGCCATTCAACACCCGGTAGGAGTTTAATTAAATTTACACCTTTTCTTAGAGTACTGAATAAAAACAAGAATCATAATTCTTCTAGGATGTTTTTAAGTCAATTTAAAAAATTCAAAGAATTCTCAGACTCACACATTACTGGTACATTCAACAAACAAATCATCTGAATGTCATTTCTCAGGAAAGTCACCATAAAAGAGAATTTATTAAATTATCCATTTCTAAGCAACAATAGTCTGCAACGAAGCTTTCCATCTGGGAGTTAGAGTGGCTTCCAGAAATTCTGGCCTGAGGCAGCCGACCTCAGCCCTACCATCAGCAAGATGGCCCACGATAAATAGGAAGAAGAAGAACCAGGATTAGTTCACATAACTATTGCCCTCTAGTAGGTTACAAATTGTTGAAAATGTCACGTTCATTGGGAGAAAGAAATGTCACAGGGATCTGTACTAAGAAAGTGTTCATTCTGAGTATGTTTGCATCTCAATTCTTTTCACCTAAGAGCAGGTAGCATATGATTGGCATATAAATTTCAGAATGAGAGTAAAACAAAATCAAATGCCCAGCTTCTTAGAGACCTATTTCATTTTCCTTTTCTACACAGAAAGAAAAGTAGCAAATAAAAATTTAACTGGGAAGAAGAGATTCAATTTTAATATAACTGGAATTGTATGCATGGTGCAGTGTACTTTCAGTCTCCTGTTACACTGGTATTTACAGAAAAAAGGAGAACTGAGTTTGGAACTATCTTCTTCAAGAACTTCAACTTTCAAATAGCCATTGACGCTCACCATCCTTTAGTTCAGTGGTTCTCAACCTTCTGGCCCTTTAAATACAGTTTCTCATGTTGTGACCCAACCATAAAATTATTTTCGTTGCTACTTCATAACTGTAATGTTGCTACTGTTATGAATCGTAATGTAAATATCTGATATGCAGGATGGTCTTAGGCGACCCCTGTGAAAGGGTGGGTCGTTCGACCGCCAAAGGGGTCGCAACCCACAGGTTGAGAACCGCTGCTTTAGTTGTTCAGACAGGAAAGTGGGTTAACCGAGTCCTAACGGTCTTCTCATTAACTGAGAGTTAACAAGAGAACTCAGTGAAACAAAATATTACAAAACCATAAGCATTCCAATCAGATGTTACTGACCCATCTAATTGGGCCGTTCTCTGAATCATTTAGTGCACCACAATGGCAAATATTATCACTCTCCAAATAAAGGCAACTAATATGAAGTAAAATAACAAAAATCAAGATCCTACTCTCGATTACACACAGCTGCACAATGTCTTTTGCTCAGTGTTGCAATACACATTTGAAACCGCCAGAACTCCCCAAAACTTTAACTAGCAGAAACAACAACAAATGTACCCTAAGCAAACTGGAAAACTTTGTCACACTTAGCATATGAAATTCGAGATAATATTCAATCCCAGTGTTAACCATTAACCAGCCAGGCAACTGTGTTCAAGGAAAAAACAAACAAACAAAAAACTTCTCCCAGAATTAATATGATAAGGCTCAAAATTCCATAATCTTCTACCATAAATTTTAACAAAACCATAGTGTAGGAAAGGTAATACAGTTTGATAGACTGAGCTGCTTTTAACATGTACTTTTGCAAGAAATATCAAGTTCAAATTTTTGTGCCATTTTTAACCATAAACTTAGATTAGAATCCATAACTTTGTTATTTGATGGCAAGAATTTAGCCAACTATTAACATAATTATGAGTGAATGTAAGACCTTTAATTTTTTCTTTTTTGCAATGAAATGCAAAATTGCACCCTTGACATCATAATATGATCATCCAAAATATGAATAAACTTACAAGGTTTCCAGGTTATCTAGTCCATCAAAACAGTGTCGGCCCAGGCTTTTAATTTTATTGTTATGAAGGTGCCTATGAAAAAAAGCATCAAAATGACTTTAACATCACCCAATAGCAACTATTACAATGATTTATATGTCTAAATTTGTATGGCTTAAAGAAATGGCCCTAGTGGTTTGGATTGGTGGATGGAGCCCAAGGACTGAAAGGTCGTGGGTTCAACTCCTGTCAAGGGCAAAGGACCTCTAGTTACTAATAAAAAAAGAAAACAAATGGCATAGCTAAACATTTCAACACTTGACCAATGGAAAACACATAGCACTGGGTAGTTATCTCGATTTATACTCCAGACTAAGATTCACTGGACAGAATACCAATGACAAGGAAGATATCTCTAGTGGAAAAAAGGTGCACACATTAAAGATCCCTTAGTATGCACCCTATCAAAACAAACGTTTTGAGGAGCTTTTAATTATATGAAGTGAAACTTGGATGAGCTCTCCTTCAGGGAAGTGGGGGAAATGATGTGGAAGGAAGCAAGTGAGCTTACATCAAGAATCGGTACCAGGTTTTATAGGAAATGCCATTTTATTATATCCAAGTTTTCAAAGATTAGAAACACAAAACATCATATACTGTTTGAACAGAGAAGTTGGTAAAAACATAAAATAGTGCCTAGTCGGTTTGGCGTAGTGGTCCACGGGGAGCGGGCCTAAGCCGTCAGTCGGCCATCCCCCAAGGGCTCCCGGACTGCAAGAGGGCGAAGGCAAGGCTGAGGGACCCCAGCACCTCCGAGTGCACAAATCTTTCGGACATCCCCCAAGGGCTCCCTGACTGCAAGAGGGCGAAGGCAAGGCTGAGGGACCCCGGCACCTCCGAGTGCACAAATCTCGTGCACCGGGCCTCTAGTTTTGTATAAAAGGCAGCTCCCCCAAACCCTCGCTCTTCAGGAGCATAATCAGTAAGATACTTTCATACTAAGAAACCTGTTTTGTGCTCCCAAATTAACATAACTATATGATATTAAATGGGGTGGATACTTACAGAACCACCAGGCTCGACAGGTTGGTAAATGCAAAATCGGGGATGCTGGAGATTTTGTTGAGAGCCAAGGTGAGTGCCTGCAGGGTGGGCAGATTGCTGAGGGGGTGAATGGGCACCTCCGTCAGACTATTGTCGTCCAGCCACAGGTGTCGGAGCTGAGGGAGCCCCTCGAAGCTGTCCTCGGGGACTGAGGTGATGTGGTTGGCATCCAGACGCCTGGCAGAAATAAACAACCACGTTCAGTAAGGAGTCCTACTGGAATGAGGCAATCCAAGCCACACAGCTCTGTGTTTTCAAACAAAAAGGAGTTATAAAATGACCGGGCTGTGACATCTGATTTCTTTCATTCCACTAGAAGTCCTCATAAAGTCTCACAACTTTTCCAAGATCAGTGTATGGAAGTCAGTTCTCTCCCTTCCTTCATAACAAAGAAATGAATTTACATGTGAATCCTTTAAGGCTAAAAGACCAGAAAGATTTTTTTTAAAAAACCCTCACAAGGTTTAAATTGGAATATTATGTTTCAAACTATATAAAAAATACAGAAAAAAACAACAGGAAATTAAGCTGAGCAAATAAAGCTGTTTTACTTACAATTTTACAACATAACTGGTATTTGATATTAAATTTAATTGTTATTCTGACTTGGTACCAAAGGGGAAAAAATAAGCAAATATTTCAAAACAAAATTTTTACAGCAGCAAGCCATTTTAATAGATTCTTAATCCTTATTACCACTGGCCAACTTAAAAATATGGGTGTCATGTACTAGCAAAGCCACCTTGTCCTCTTCTCTTAGCACTAAGTACTTTTTAAAAAGTTAGTCAAAATAAAGTTACTAAGAAAAGGGCCAACTGTTCATAGAAAAAGTTAAACAGCTACTCTGATCAATGTTACTGTGGCTTTAAAGCTTCTTTAATTTTTCCTTTTAAAAATTAAGGACACCTTACTAGTAGGATTACTCACACTTAAAATTAAGTCCCCATCTGAAACTCTGGGAAACTAAGTCCCAAGTGCTATGGTGGGCACAACCAGGTATAATTGTTGGAATAATGGCTTTTCAACACAAAGACAACCTGCTATTAATATGATAAGGGACAGTATAGTATGTGCCCAGCAAATCACAACTTTCTTCACGAATCCCTTGTTGATGTATCGCCACTACTTAAAGTCATACCTGACAGGCATGGACCTCCTGGTGAAAATTAGGGAACAACTACAACAAAAAAACTGATGAAAAGTCAAAATGACAGCAAATTTTAAAAGAAATCGAGTGTGACAGCTCTCTAGTTTGGGAAACTGACTTTGAGAGTGGCTTTTGTGCCTCCTTGTTTCCTATGCTGCTCCAGCTTCAGATCCCGCAGGAACCGTCCCCTTCCCCTCCAGGCGAGGACTGAGGGCTGCTCCCAACTAACCCCCAGGCCAGGGGCCGCTAGATTAGCCGGGGTTAAAGACCCCTGGTCCTGGTGAGGATCAGATGGAAGCTTTCTTTTTGATAAGACAAGATAACAGAAGGGACACTGACAATGGGAGAGCTCGGGAAACTGAGCAGCTGCCTTAAGAATCCACTTAGACTCATACTTAGGCTTGTTCATTCCTTGGGCTTTCAAGAACCTACCCCTGAGAAGAGACAGGCATCCTTTAATGTAACAGACTGGCACAGTCCTGGCTAAGGAGCTGCTTCGGAGATTTGCTTTCATGATACAGGAGTGTGTTCAATTTCAATCTCTCTCTCGCTCTCTCTCTCTCTCTCTCTCTCTCGCTTCGGAGATTTGCTTTCATGATACAGAAGTGTGTTTAATTTCTCTCTCTCACACACACACACACACACACACACACACACACACACACACTTCACAACCTAAAGGAACTTCCACTTGGGGAGAGAGAGATACTGAACATACAATCATACAGTTAACCATGTAATGTAATTAAATAGTGCAATTAAATTCTACTTGTAGCTAATTTAACTGTCTGCAATCCATTCAACACATTTCAATGGAGCATCTTGTTAGGCATTCAGGTGGGGGTGATGCACAGTGTGATAAATTTAAGCGATGATCACGGAGTGCCTAAGAAGTGCTGTGAAGTAAATAAACAGGACACTGAGATAAAGGTTAACAGAGGTTCAGAAGGAAGGGTTCAGAGAAAGAGCAAGAGGGTGCAATGTTAAAGGCAAAGGAAACACGAAGGGCAGACTCAGTAGCAGAAAGGAGTTGGGTGTGGTCCCAGCATCTGCCAGGTCAGAGTGATAAGCACCTGAGAGGAAGGGAGTGAGGGGCCACAGAGACACAGACGGGGATGGGACCAGATCATGTGGACCCATGTGGGCCAGGTAAGGGGTTTGGATTGTATTTTAAGTACAGATTGAAGTTCCTCCCTAGTTTCTCAGTGATAGAGCAGTTTAAAAGCTAAAATTGCTTATATTATCATATTGATAGCATGCATTCATATTCAACAAAATGTTTCCCCTACATACACAGAGAGATTGTCATTTAAATGTTCTGTTGGGATGCGGTAAACACTGTAATAAGGAATGTTGTCAGTACTTTTTAAACCGAAGCCCAGTATTATGTACACCATACATGCTTCTGCAGAATTCTGTGCCATATATCACCAAAAAAATGGGATAGCCTTTACTGAAAGCAAGATAACCAGGTGAATTTTGAGCTAAAAGTTTAATTACTATATTCTAGGCAAAATAATAATACAACATTAAATACGCAGACACAATTTCCTCTGTGCTAAGAATTTCCCAAAATTGTAAAAGTCACACATACATTGAGAGCAGAGGGAAGAACTCTGGAAAATGAAATTCAGAAGTTAAGTGAGAAAAAGGATTTGTGGTGACACAAATGGTTAATCCTTATACCTCAATTCACAAGCGGGTGTGGGAGGCACACCCATAAATACAATGAACTGGACTTACACTGAGATTAATGTTTCACAGATAATTCATCTTAAGAGCTGTGGCTTTGTACCTATGACCTACATTATTAATATTTATCCCTATTAATGGACAAAGAAAATGCTATAATTGATCCATTCAGGAGAGGCAATAAATGGCATCAGATATCCTCCAGAGTGGGAGAGGATGTGGATTGGCTAAGGTATTCTACCATTTAAACTCCATACAATTATTATTGTATTTAAATGTACTTCAGTTGTTAAAAGGCTAACAATGTGTTAACTGAATTCCCTTCCTATTCATCTTTAAAATGTGTCTATTCTCTATTTGCAACAACTTTTTTTTACATCTTACCGAGGCTCACATACTGTTTTTATGTTGCCTTAAATGAAATTACGATACCAAATAATTCTGTATGTGATGAATGTCTGCGATGTCAGTAAACACCTACTCTGTATATAGTTTGTTACCAGGCTCTAGTTCAAAATAGTTCAGAAATTCTGCTATTGTGGAAAACTTAGGAAACGTAGCCCTTGAAATCCTTTCATATCCAATGTTAAGTGTGTTCTAACATTAAGAAAAAAATCTAGTGGGACAAATTCTGAGATGTCTTCTTAATCTGCTCAGGCAACGCTCAGGGCTTTGTGGAAGGCTGTTCATGCTCCCTGTTTAGTAACGACTTCTGTTCAATTTCCACCCCTAATGAACTTTGCTCCTGGTAAAGCACTACTTCAAAACCACAAGGAAAGCCTTCGTGTAATTCTGGTCTGAAGATCAGATTTTCAAACTGACTCAAGTGCTGATAAGACTGTTTTACACCAGAATTTCAATTGTAGCTGACTTGACCACTACACCCATTATGCTAACAAACCCAAGAACGTTTCCTTCTCAAATAAAACAGGCCTGACCCATAGCTCCATGTGTTTCTGATACATGTAAAAGCATTCTGACGCCTTTTTAAAAAAATTTTTGTTTGGACTCCTCTCCTCACTCCCACCCTTCACCCCAATTTTGAACATTAAGTGGTTGATACCCCATACACTCCTTTTTTATGACATTAGATACTCTTTTCTTTATGACACTAGATGCATTGTAAAGTTTAACTGTTACAGCATAAGATATGCTTTATTAGTGCATATTTTTATTTTCACTTTTCATTAACTACTAGGATAATCTAAAATCAAAAGTTAATCTACAATTTACAATTTCCAGGGATGTGTTTTGGGTGCAGTTAAATGGTTTTATATTAACAAGTGGATGGGATAAGCAGCTGGATTACTTTCACCTAAATCTTCTATAATTCACATGCATTTCCTACAAAAGCTTCCATTTATGGTTATTTTAAAGGGCAATCAATTAAAAAAAACATTAAGGAACAGATTAGTATATATATGCGTGGTGTGATTAAAACCTAATTTTATAACTCATAACACATAAATGTGATAACTATTACAATTTTGTATTCAGAGTAAATCTCAAAACCTCCATGTACATGAGATTACCTGAGAAAATTTTTTGAAATATAGCCAACTCATAACACATAAATGTGATAACTATTACAATTTTTTATTCGGAGTAAATCTCAAAACCCAATGTACATGAGATTACCCAGGAAAATTTTTTGAAATATAGCTTCCTGGACCCTTAAAAGAGAAAATATCATTACTTCTTGGATATGGCCTAGAGATCTGTATTTTAGGGACATTTCCCCCTAGTGATCCTGTTACAGATGGTCAAAGAGCCAGACTTTGAGAAATTATGCCTTAGTCCCATTGTATTTATTTGGACGTGAACTAAAACTGTAACTTTGTATTCGTGATCCTAGTAGAATAACAAACTAAGTTCCTTGTTTTGAAGACTACTTTTTCATTACTTTCAAAGATGTTCCCTTCACCTAGTTATGCAAATTGGGTAAACTAGTAATGAAAGGAAAAAAAACTAATAAAATATACCATCAATGTTTAAATTAAGAGATTCCACGGTGTTTATTGAGCACTTATTACCTGTCAGATATTGTCCTAAGTCCTTTTCATGCATTCAAGTACACAGTAAGTAATGAGCAAACTACTGTATGGAGAATTTTAAATAACCTGGCCAACATCACACAGCCAGTAACTATCAGAGTGGGGATTCAAAACCAGAGTTCTAATAAATCCAAACTTGCCTGGATTTCTTTTTGAAAGTGATGCAAACATTCTGACATAAATATGCAAAGGGCTTTTCTTAATCTTGGCAAGCGTCACGTTACGATAAACACATGCATCAGTTGAGTGCTTCTCACCTCTTTCCTTTAAAGTGCCCCAAAGACAGGAACTTGGTTTTCTACCCTATGGTGTAGCCTTGGCACTACTCCACAGCAGGCATTCTAGTCATTAACAAATACCTGGTCATTCAATATAAAAAACAGTTGTTTCTTCAAACCCTTCTGTGGATTTGCAGGGTCCCTGTGATACCAAGCTGCTCACCTGATCCACCCACTAGAGGCAGAACGGGAGTTTGCATACACAAACCACGGCAGCAATGATCCCCATTCTCCAGGTTCATGTACATATACACATGCATATACATGAGAAAGGATGCCAAAAAAAAAAAAGAAGAACAGAGGGACGTGCTATATGAAAAAGCTTTGGAAATTAGTAGCTGAGCACGGTAGAAACCAAGAGTTGAAATCTTGAACACTCCACATAAAACCAACCTTTCCTCAAAAAGACAAAGAGCCTTGGGAAGAAGGCAGCACAGGCCATTAAGTTGCCACTCCCAGTGTGTGTTCAATGTCCACAGATAAGGAACTCGAATCAGTTTGTCCTGACTGTCATGACCACCTGAAGCTGAGACCTCTTTGTGGCTGTTCCTTGACCTTCATGGCCCAAGACACTGCAACTGCTGTACACACATGACACTGGTTCCATAGGGGTGATGCCCACAGACCTTCCACAGACCAGCTCGTGGAATAACACCCAGCAGTGTCCACTTGGAGCTTCCTCCCACCCCCTGAGAAAAGAGAGGAGGCAGACTGGGCCACCTCCTGCTCACTCGCCAAAGGGCATTTCCATAATGGCAACTGGCCACCCCCATTTTTATCCCAGAGGAGTAGAGAAATCTCCCTCTCTCCTTGGAATTCCGGGTCTTTACACATGTTGCAGCCAGATGATCGTATGATTCAAAAATGCAGAAAACCAAAAAGGTACTTACAAAGACTGCAAAGCACTCAGTCCTCGAATGGCTTCACTGGGCACTGTTTTCAACTGATTGTTTTGGAGGGTTCTGGAAGAAAATTTTTGGTTAGTGAATAAGCAACTGTGACCATTTTTTCTTAGAAGAATTCAGAGTCATCTCTTTCAAAAAAAAAAATTTATTGCCAGTGGCAGGAAAGGGAAGAGATCAAGGTGGAAAGCACCCAAGACAAGAGAATTGCAAAAAAAAAAAAAAAAAAAAAAAGGCAAGAAACATTGGTTCTAAAGCCAGAAATGAAACCCAAGTCATCCTCTGACACGCACGTGCCTGGTAATCTACATTTCAGGGGCTGCTTTCCTCTCAGGAATGAAGGCACCTCATTAACCTTCATCACCCCAGCTGAGGTTCCCTGGGAGGTATAACAGGCTAACTGGGAGGAATAACAGCACCCACTGGAATCCCTACGCCTTTTCAAGTTGGAATAAAGCAGAGCCCAGAATCGCAGACATGAGGTAAAGCCACTTGTGCCAAGAGGATAGGAGACCCTGAGTCTTAGGGGGCAGCAGCCGTGTGCTCAGTGAATGCAGGCCAGGGCAGAACCTGAGCTTTAATCATCTGAGGGCGAGGGCCTGGAGCTTGAAGGCAAAGATCAGAACCCAAAATGAAGTCCTTCTAGTTTGTGCCTAAAGCCATTCCTAGTCACATTAATCAAATCACTGCCTGATGTGAGTCATAACCACAGAATGGGATGGTAAAGGGCCCCTCTAGCTCACTGGACCAGAGAGGTCTGGTGACTTGCCCACGGTCACCCAGCAAGTAGTGGTAGGAGTGAGTGGGCTGGCAGTCAGTCCCCCTGTTCCTCAACCTGCCACACTCCAAACTCCTGAGCTCTGCTGGGAATTGATGTCCTGATCCCTCACAGGCTACAGAAGTCACAAGCACCTCAGTTCCCTTTAGCTCTGAAATGACTGTAATATTTGGAACTCTTGTAAGTCCTTTTCCCACAAGGGTCAGCTAATTCAACGTTCTTATAGCTGTAAAATATGTGGAAACAAAACCTAAACAGTGAAGCTTAAATGTGATTTTGATTCAGAGCATTAGCCACATAAAAAGTCTAATATTCAACTCTAATGCACTAGAGGTCAGAAGTCCTCTTATTCAGATTCTAACTTTTGTTATCTAGACCTACGTTTGCCTAAATCAACCTCTAGCCTCCCACACCAACCCACCGGCCACTCCTTAAACCTTTTAATCCTGAGCTAAAAGAAACTGTGCTTAACCTCGCTCCAAGCATGTTGACTATGCAGAAAGAAAATACACAGCCAGCTGTGAAACTCTAAAACTGCATTACTTACAGAACTTTGAGCTCTTTCAACCCAGACAAGGCCTTTGGGTGGATAAAAGAAAGGTCGTTGCCAGCCAATCGTCTAGAAAAAGAAAAGTAGCAAGAGGGGGGAAAAATTGTAATTCAGTCTCTTAAAATTCAGAACTCACAATAACCTCATCTGTGATTAAAGCTCTATGTTAAACATTTCTCAAGCCTATCTGACATTAAACATGGACTTAAACCTTTGCTAAAGTGATCCCAAGATTCTTCCAATGAGATAAATGTCTCTGGGTTTTATTTTATTTTTTTTTAACTCTCAATACAATAATTTAAGCAGGCACATTTTTATTCTGGTGAGGTCAAGCAAGCCAAAACACATTAAACCAAATTAAGTTTGCTATTCATGGTCACTCTCCGCAGCTTGCGGTGTTTTCCAAGTGCCTCGTAAATGCAGACTACTGGCCCGTAGGCAGGAGTGTTTATTCGAATCTGAGCAAACCAGTCTGTCAAGGAGGAATGCCTTCAGGAGGCAAATCGGTCTGTTATCTCCATAACCCAGGGCAGCATATTCCATGCAAAAGAGAGGCAAACAGTAAAATTCACCATAAGCATAACTTTCCATAAAAAGGCTGATATATTTTTTTGGGGGGGGGGGGAAGCATTGTTCTAAAGAATTTAAGTGGGAGTAAGGGTGGAATAAAAAAGAATTTAAAAAATGGGTCATTTTGTAAAAAAATCTCAGGACACCATTCATACCGAGCTCTGCTTTCCCATTTTCCCAGGCACACAGAAATGGGAGGGAAAGTTGAAGAGAGGACTTTAAGGAGAAGAAGCAGGAAATGGGACCGCAACTCATATAAGTAACTTATAAACAGGTGAGCTTGAAGGAGCGTTCCAAGTTTTGGCTTAAATGCTAGTTGCATGCCCTTAGGATTAAACACAGCACTCTCCCAGTTTCCTGGTTCCGTCAGAGGCATTCTCCCAGGCCATGAGATGTTGAGTCTATAATTAAAAAAAAAAAAAAAAAAAAAAAGCTCTCTCCTCCTTAGGATCACATAATCACCAAGTCATATCAATTCCTTCTTTAAAGGTTCTCTTTCCATCGTTCTTTCTCTTTTCTCTTTCCCTGCACCCCTAAGCCTTATTCATTGATTCACTAAAAAGTTTCTCTCATTAACAAATTGAAGTGCTTACTAAGTGCCTGGCATACAACACCCTCTTCTTAGACATCAGCTGTGTCCCCTGCTTCCAATCTGTTCCTCTCAAACACCTTGATTTCAGGAAGGCTCATTCATTTGAAGTCACTGAGACCTGAAAACTCTACGTTTTAGATGCATTTACTTTTTCTTGATGCATTTACTTTTGTCCCAGTTAAAATGCAAACAGTCTTGGAAAGGCTTGATCTTTACCTGGTATTAACATAGAAAAATGTACTGAAGATGTGTGTGAGTTGGGAGGGAATGTGGGTGGAGGAGTGAAAGGTAAAACAATCACAGGACAAGAGCAAGTGTGTCGTTTATTCAACAGCCAGGATAACAATGCTGGCTTTTCAGGCAATATCACAACTATATGACAGGATTTCACACACGGCGGCCAAGACATGGAAACAACCCAAGTGTCCTTCCATAGAGGACTGGATAAAGAAGATGTGGTACATGTGTACAACAGAATACTACTCAGCCATAAGGAAAGATGAAGTAATCCCATTTGTGACAACATGGATGGATCTTGAGAATATCATACGAAGAGAAATAAGTCAGTCAGAGAAAGCTAAGAACCATATGATTTCACTCATATGTAGGATATAAAACTGAAACTCATAGACACAAACAATAGTATGGTGGTTACCAGAAGGTGTGGGAAGTAAAGGGTAAAGAGGGCCAAATATATGGTGATGGAAGATGATTGGACTTTGGGTGGTGGACACAATTCAATATACAGATCATGTATCATAGAAATGTATATAATCTTGTTAACCAATGCCACTCCAATAAATTTAATTTTTAAAAAGACAGGATTTAACACAGTTTGAACACATGCCCCTAAATTAAATTTTTCGTAAATAGCCCTTTCACTATTTCCCTGGTTTTACACAAGGCACCCCAGCACCTAAGCTCTATACTGCTTGCCTTTCGAGGCTCCCACAACCCGGGCTCATGACCTTTTTTACCTCTTAGAGGTCACCCTGTGTAAAATGAGAGACTGCAGATGGTGACCTCTTCAGTGCTTCCATTTAAAATGTTTCTCCTCAGCAAATCCTCTTGATTCTAGACCAGCTATTTTAACCACTACGTCTTTAAATGCTTCACCTCTCAATCTCATCTTCACCCCCTAAAAAGCCAACTTCAGTGTTACTTCCCATGAAAATTTCTGTTCTAATGACCATGCCTGATGTATGAATTCTTACTGAACCCGGTCACAGGCTACCTTCTATGGTTATTCCTTGCACAGTAAGCTTGTAGGCCAAATACAAACACTTCCAAGAACAGGCACAGGAAAATGCCAAGTCAATATTCAAAAACTGCTTTCTCAGAATTTCTTCCTCAAAAATGCTTGCCATTCCAATGCCATAGCATCCCACAGTCTACACCTGCTGCAGGCTTGATGCACGCCCTCTCAAGGGGCTTTCACCCCCCTCCTCCAGGCTCACTAATTAAATTCAGTTGATAATGCAGTGTTTAAAAGATCAAATTGGACAGTAAGGACCATAAGGAGCAGTAGCCTTCTCCCCGCGAGCAATGCAAGTCCTGTGTCTATGAGGGCTCCTCCAAGTTCTTTGAAAGACCAGCCTTCACTGTCAAGTCTGCCAAAAAGCAAACACTATAAACAGACTGAGGCTGATACAAGAGTCTTATCCTTTTGTCTCTGATAATAGCTTTCAATGTCCCCATATCTATGGACTTTCCTTGAGGACTTCAGTCATGGAAAAGAGTATTTTATAATTTAACAGAGGAAGTGGCAAAATGCAGAGAACCTGATTTCCTTTACTTGTCAACAGAAGAGTGTTGAAGTGCATGAGCCAAAACATTTGCCTCCTTTCCCCAAATCTCTGCCCCTTTATGAGCCAAGGGAAAACTAAAGTAAGCTAACTTCAAAAAGCACCCTCTCTTTCTCCACTATTTATTGTCAATGGAAATGACCAAATGAGCTCTCTGCCTGTGGCTTATCCCGAAATGCAAGCCCAGTATCTGGAGAAATCAACACTACCCGGATGTGGTGGACCATGCTGATGCTGAGATGGGGGCACACCACCTCACACTCCCTCTGATTACTCCTTTCTTCTGGAATGCCTCTACCCACATTTTACCGAGCGGCTGTTAATGAATGATAAACACAGCAGCCTGGTGAGGGCTCTGCAGCTTCAGCAGCTGCACCCTCCAAAGCCTCTTTGCTTCTTTTATGGGCCAGTAATTCTTAGAGCAGACCCTAGGGATGCTTCTTGTTCAAAATCTCAGGTCCAGAAAGAGCAAAGTGAGTAAATAATAGGATTGGGGACCAAGTCCCCCACATCTCTGGAAGGAAACACCTACTCGGTAATGAGCCCACAGTAGTTACAGGCATGTGACAGTGGTTTACAGACATTCCTTTTCATTTTCATCATCGCATGACAATAGCCACGCTTCTCTGAGTCCCTAAGAGGCTAGTGGACTTGGCGTAAGTCACAGGGCTGGTAAGTGGAGGAGCCAGCATTCCTGGCTGGCTCCCATGCTTATCTACTTTCCCTGCACCTCTGTGATGCCTCTGGTGGGTCACCAAGAGACCAGGAAACAATTCCCAGATAACACAATGGACTTGGGCAATAGCCTTGTTTGAGTTGCAACAGGTCTCACCCAGCAGACCAGAGCTCACACGTAGGGACTATGGCATTTGGAGGTCAGAACTGCAATTTTATAGAGGAGTTTCCAACAGACTAACAGTACCATTCTTCCCAGAGCCAAAGATGATCCGTGGGAAGGGGCGTGGGGGATGGGGCCCCTAGGTGCCCAAGGTGCAGGGCATGCCCTACACTCACTGGGACTCTATTGGGATATAGAGCATTCTCTGTTGTGCTTTTTCAGCAGCTCCCAAGGAAAAACAGGTGGCGGATCCTGAGGAAGAATTTGTCACCAGTGGCCCTCTCCTAGCCAAGGCCAGCTACTTCCCATTCTGTGCCCGGATTGTCTCTGCTACACCCAACAGTGTTCCCAACTTCTCTCTGCATGAGGACCTATTGGCTGGCTCCACAAAATGTTATTAATTTGGTAAATTATAATATTTCTATTTTTGTACTTCTTCTTCCAATGGCTATGAAGCCCTTAAAAAAACATCATTAGGGTGAGAACAGAAGGTTGCAGGTGGTATGCTTCTCTCTGTGCTAAGGGTAGATGGTCCCAAGCATCCCTTCTTTCCCCTCTGCCACCCTCCCGTTGGACTTGGCGCCCTGAACATAGACCATATGGAGCCTGGCTCCATAGTGTCCATCCATCCACTCATTACTCTTCCTGCTGTCACCTAAGTCTAGGCCATCTTTTTCTCCTCCAGTATTATTGCCATTTACTTCCACAAGACTCCTACCTCAAACTGCTTAATTATAATCCCGTAAGATCTAAATCTTAAAAAAACCACACACACAACTCTGAGCATTTTCTGTGCTGAATTAGCCAGACCTTCAGCATGATCTTCTTTCCCCAGTGTTCCTTGTATCTGCAATTTAGCACTCAATGCTTTTCCACCTCTGACTCTTCCCTCATGACACTTCCTTCACCTGAAATACCCCCACCCTGGCCTCTGCCCATTGAAACCTTATTCATCATCCCTGTCCAAGTTGGATAATACCAACAATGTGACACTGGTAGGCTTTCACCTTCCTTTGATTCCACAGGTATCTGTATAGTCAAAGCTCTCTCACTGGATGCATCTTGTCTCTAGTTACCATGAGCTTGTCATATCTCCTTCAATTGTATTATATGTCCCATAGGAGCAGAGACTAGTTTATATTCATTTTGCACCCTCTCACATGGAACCTGACATGTAGTAGGTCCTTGGTATTTGCTGTGATGCTTCAACTAAGTCCCTATCAGACTCAGAATTCAAAACAGCAACCCTGCTATGTAAAGAGCG